AAACATTAAACTAAAATTAAAAAAATACACATTAATTCAATGTATATGATAGTTTATTATATAATATGATTCAAATTATACTTTACATACTAAATATAAATCTGAATAGTAATTTATTGATATAAGTGATTATACCTTTCAATATTATTAAGGAGAAACAATTGTTGTTGGTCTGCATTTACAATGTCAGCCTGTAGGCGGCGCTGCGGAGCTCCTGACTTTCATCCCCTCCAGTAAATGTGATGCAGGCTTCGACAGGTCCGGACCACACTCAGTGTCCTCCTCCATCCACCCGGACGGAGCCCGGTATGTAAGCCCGGGTACTCGTTCATGTAGCCCGCTTTATGCGCTCTTTCCCCCGATGGAGGAGGAGTGAGGTCGGATCCAACGCCCTGCAGGCTGCCGGGAGACTCGGAGCTCCACACCGACGGGGAGCGCAGCAGGTCGGGGGAAGGAAACCGTGAACATGGTCGTGGTCTCGGCCTCGTGAGGCCGTCATATGAACGCGGACGATGCGCGTGGACCTGTCGGGGATGATGGTGAGTGGCTGTCACGCGCGCGGTGGGTCTCTTTTGTCTCCGCGGGCGCGCACACACACGCACACACACACACACACACACTGGCTCGTCCAAACATTATGAAACCGGGTACATTCAACAGAAGGAAGGAGGAGGAGGAGGAGGAGGAAGAAGAGGGTCCTTTGATTGAGGTCAGCCGGCTTCCCGGGATGGATGCTGAGCTCGGTACTGTCTGACCCGGTTGGCCGCATCAGGGTGGATCCTCCCGGTCAGTCACTGGTTTCCAGCAGAGAGACGGAGCACCAGTTCATTTACCAGTGAGAGTCAGGTCTGCACCACTGTGGAGTCTGAGCTCTCCCAGTGGTCCCTGAAGGGCTCTTAAGCAGAGGACAGGTTTTAAGCTCAGTTTAAGTTAAATCTAATGTTTTATTTACGATTTTATTCATGAATTAAATGAAATGATCTAATGACTGAAGTCATAGCCTCCCTCCCCTCATCGCTCAGTTTTAATCTGGGATTTATTTGGATAATTTGGCTGATTAAACCCACTCAAATCTGGATTTAGGACTAGTGTTTATTATGAGACCCAGTTCTGTAAATTGAATATATTTGGATTTTATGTGTTGGTCAGACACTTGAACGATTGAAATAATAATGATTGTAATAATGATCAGGAAATGATCTTTACATACACTGATATAAAGGAGACCTGGTCTGGGTTTAAAGGCCCAGGATGAACTTTTAGTCTGAGGCTTTTTTAGACCTATTTCTATTTTTGGTAAATGTGTGAGAAGCTTTGAAGGTTGGAGACACCCAGGGGTGCTCCCTGCATGATGAGTTTGATTTTATTCATTTGAAGTGAGGACAGTGAGAGATTGATGCAGTTGTGACCTATAAGGTTGCTCCAAACCATATTTCGTATTTTTCTTTATTTATTTGAATTACCTGGTTAAAGGTAGATGATGTGTGTATACAGATGTCCTCCTGTTCTTACTTCCATGCTGGCTTTCATTTGCAATCACAGAGGTTGCCGCTTGATCCTTTCCATCTCTGCCATGTTTGTACAGGAGCCCAGAACAGACAAACCAAACACTGGCTCTAGATAGACCCGGTCCTCAGCCCTGTCACTGTAGTTTCTCCTCTATAATTGGAAGGCGAGCTGTATTCAGTTGGTTGCAATCTACAACTACACTGCTAGATGCCACTAAATCCTCCACACTGGACCTTCAAATACCCCTGACCAATCAGAGCTTTTATTTCAGTCCCCAAGCAGCATAAAACACTTGGATACCTCAAATATAGTCCGTACTTAACCTCCCAGACGAAATATGACACACTCGTTTCATTTGAAGGCATCAAACCAAACTGGTTTCTCTCTGAAGCTGCCTACAGGTGCAGGAAACCAGACCAGAATGCATTGCAGCTACGTGCCTGGTTGACTTTTGATTAAAGTAGCCTGGCTAACTGAAAAAACTCTTCATGTATAACACATGGAGGTCACTGAAAGGCATTCTGGGAACTGTAGGATATTGCCAACTGAAGCAGGTGAAAGACAGCATTTCATCTCCATCTGCTGCCGTGTTGTGAGTTTTCCACACTGAACTTATGAAACAGTGAGAGGACACACTCCGTTGTGCAGACCTTGAGCGAGCTCTTTGTGTATTCACTGTGAGTCAGCCCCGCCGTCTTATCAGCGCAGTCAGGCAGCACGGCCCGAGCTCTGCAGCCCGCCAGGGGAATGAAAATGCCACAACACGTCGCTTCAGATCCGCTTGTGGGTCAACATCTCCGGCATGGTGCTGCTCGCATCCTCCTCCCCCTCCTCCCCTCCCCCTCCCTGCTCCTCTCGTCTGTCTGAGTGTGATGCAGGGACGGCAGAGTTCATTCTCCAGCTGCTGCAGCTTCACTATGATCTGATAAACGTTTGAGCCTCTTATGGAATCATTATTCTCACATTTAAGACTCTTTGCACTGACGGTTGAATTCAAATCTGGATATTATTTAAAATCTTTAAAAAATGATCAGATTTACCTCTTTTGATAATGATAGAAGAACTATTGGCTCACTTTGAATTTGTCATGTTTATGAGCAGTGAAAGATACCGAGCTGCTGGCTGATTGGTTAGTTGAACTTGTGGTACGATGTCATTGGCTGGAGTAAATGTTGATTAGTTTAAAGATGCGTCATATTTGTTATGTTTTGCTGTGGATATGAAACCTCTTCTGCCTGCCGCACTATAGTAGGAGTATTCTAGTTGGAAAAGTATTTAAACTCCTTTCTTCACTTTCTACATGTTTCTCATTTGTGCTTTGAAGTAGAGGTCACTGGTCCATAATTATCACCTGTAAACTAAAGAAAAACATCTTCCTTTCAACCAGAAGTACATGTGTATATTTTCAACACCTTTTTAATGACATTTTACAAGTAGGTGAATAATAAAGTCTGCTGTGACGTTACCTCAACAGTTTATTTAAAACGTATTTTTTGTGAATATTTGCTTCTTGTTCAGTTGCGATTACGTCCAGCAGCCTGTAGCATCAGCGGCACATATCCACATTCCTGCACGTCTGATGCAAACAGGCTGCACTCTCATGTTGCATCCAAATGTTTTTAGCCGTGTTGTGTTTCCTACCAGCACCAGCATGCAGGAAGCGTGGCGTTCATGTCAGAGTTTGCCACGAGGCGTTCAGGGTCCAGCGGTGATGATAGGTGCACCGACGTGAGCTAATTAGTGCTCATCCTCAGACATGGAGCTGAGAGCTGCAGGCTGCTGAGGGCCAGATGTTTGGTAAAGTATTAGAGCTTGTTGTTGGAGCCGACGGGTGCAGAGAGGCAGACTGGGACTGGACTGACTTCCTTTTTTGATCCTGGATTAGTTTGTGCAGAAATCTGACACGAGTTTTAAGTCAAACTCAAACTTTGAATAATAATATTGATAATTTACTTTTCTTCTTTAGAAAAAACCCCCAAAAATCTGTATTTCATAATTAAATATATATCATTGATACATTGATTGATATTATATATATATTTTAAATAAAGTAAAATGATCTGAATGAATCTGTTTTTTAGTTCTTTCTAAAGAAGAAATGATGAAAAAGATTTTAATAAAAGATCAGCAAAGCTTTGTTTTCTCAGCTTTTCCTTTTCAGTGTAGTGCGTTAATTTATTAGACAGAAAATGTAAGATTAGATAATTTATCAAGAAAAACTGCCAACTTTCACTCCCAGTTTGCTACTTGTATTTGTTTTATGTCATTGTAAATGTGAGTATTTTGAGTTTTGGACTGTTTATCAGACAAAACCAGACAT